GGTCCAGCTCTAGCCTTCCAATGAAAGAGCTAGAAAGTCCATAGGCCATCGATTCTTAGGATATTAAACATCAGGCACTAAGGACAAGTCTATCATGAGAAACTGGAAGCAGTGAAGGAGGACACTAGAACTGAGCCTCTCAGATCTTTGATAGGATTTCTATACTGAAACATAGGAGGAGAAATCCAAGCAGAAATCAGTTGTCTTCTTGAGTTAGTAGAAGCCAAGTAAGCTAGACATCTGGACCAGGTATCCCCGGAATCAGACAGAGCATGAGTCATGAAGACCTGGTGATGCTCTCTGTTAAGCATTCAGTTGGGTACTGATCAACACGTGGTATGAGGAAGTTAACCACACAGATAATCACTAGAGAAGATTAAAAGACTAACAGGGCTCACAGACCCAGGGTGAGTGTCTATTATCCTTAGGTGACAGGGAAACTTCAAATTGGTTGTAGAGAGAACCCAAAACAAAATATTAGCATATTACTTCTTTTTTTTTTTTTTTTTCGAGACAGGGTTTCTCTGTGTAGCTTTGCGCCTTTCCTGGGTCTCACTTGGTAGCCCAGGTTGGCCTCGAACTCACAGAGATCCGCCTGCCTCTGCCTCCCGAGTGCTGGGATTAAAGGCGTGCGCCACCACCGCCCGGCAGCATATTACTTCTTAACAAAGCTTTAAAGTCAATTTACCCAATGTTAACATCTCTCCAAGAATCTTACCCTGTACCAGGAGGAAATGAAAGACTATTTATAGAAATACAAAAAGCATCTTCACCCAAGAAAGGGAAATTCACTGGCACCCACTAATAATTGCCAGATGCCTTAGTGACTTTTCCGTTGGAGGGAGAGAGATGCTTCACAGAAACTTCCTAAGGGAGAACAGATTCACTGTGGCTCATGATTCAGGGACCTCAGTCCACTGTTGCAGGGGAGATGTAAAGAGTGGTTCTGACTATGGAGGAGGGGAGCATGAGGTAGTGACTACTCACATGGAGAACAGGAAGCAGAAAGCAGCCAGAATCTGGGGCCGAGCTACCACCTTCAAAGCTGGTCCAAGTGACCCATGTACCAACTAAGGCCTACCTTCTCAAGGTTTCACAGCCCCTCGTAATAGCTCCACCACCCCAGACATCAACCTGTGGAGGATACTCCAGCTTCAAACAATATCAGCAGGCTTCCCAATAGGAATACATGGTCAACGTTTTTTCTTATAATCATGGGGAGCATCAATCAATCAAATGAACAGAAATGATGAAGGTGACAGATTTGCCAACGCAAAATCGTAAGGGTGAAAATTTAAATGCTTGGAATGAAAAATAAACCGGATTATATTCATTATAAATTAGATATTAAAAAAGAATATTTTAGTAAACTTGAATTAATAGTCACCATACAAAGGGAAAAATGAAAGGTGGAAAAGAAAGGGAGAAAGGAGGGAAGGAAGGAGACTAGAAAAACAGCAAAGAGGTAACAGTGAGCATGGGGGCAGCTTTCAGTATAAATAAATAAATAAATGTTTTTACATAATTATAGTCCACACAGGAGAAGAGAAATTGTTTCAAAAAATATTAGAATGCCTAAAGTCTTCTAAATGTGACCCAAACTTCAAGTCCACTTTTTTTTTTTTTTTTTTTTGGTTTTTCGAGACAGGGTTCCTCTGTGTAGCTTTGCGCCTTTTCCTGGAACTCACTTGGTAGCCCAGGCTGGCCTCGAACTCACAGAGATCCGCCTGCCTCTGCCTCCCAAGTGCTGGGATTAAAGGCGTGCGCCACCACCGCCCGGCTTCAAGTCCACTTTTAATGAAACTCAATGGACCCCAGGAATAACAACAAAGGAAAACTCCTTCCAAAACATGTTTTTTTTCTGAGTCGCTTGAAAAGCAAAAAGTGAACCCTTCAGCAAAGTATCCAGAAGGGGGATGAAGCATATGCAGATACTTAGAGGGGGATGAAGGAAGCTTGTAGAGGAACTAATAAAAAACTCACACTGGAGCAACCTTTCTAAAGCATCCAAAGGGGTGGGAACCAGAACTATATAGTTGTCGGAAATGATGTTTGTCAATTACATCAAGTAAGTTGCTAATCCAGACTCGTACGCCCACTGGTTTTTGCCTACTGGCTAACTAGCTGTAGTTCTTCCTTTCTGTTGCTGTGATAAAACACTGTGACCAAAAGCAACTTAGAGGAGGAAGGGCTTATTTGGCTTATACTTCCAGGTCACAGTCCATCACTGAGGGACATCAGGGCTGGACCTTAAGCAGAATTCTGCTTTCCAGCATGCGCTTGTTGGCTTTCTCCAAGGCTCCTGCTTACCTAGCTTTCTTCTATAGTCCAGCACAACCTGCCTCAGGAATAATGTCACCCAGGGACCAACCTGATCTTGATAATCCTTTGATGGAGGCTTCTCCTCTCTGATGACTGAAGGCTGTGTCAAGTTCATGGTTATGGCTAACCAGGACAGTTGCTGATAGATATTTATAGAATACACAACTAGTATGTCAAATTTGGCTTTGGTTTTTGAGGAGGATGTCGGTGTTTGCTTTATGCATCTTGAAACTATGTTATATGGCTTTGGCTTACCTTCCAAAATTGAATCCATTCTTTTATTATATAATGTCTGCGTATTTAATATTTCTTATATTAAAATATACCTTGTTCTTTGTGGCCACTACCACACCAGCTTTCTTTTGAACAGTGCTTACACAATGTGTGTATTTCTATCTTTTTCTTTTTAATTTGTCTCCTCTTTCGAAAGCTTGATTTCCTGTGCCAGAACTAGAAAATGCCCTCAAGGAGAAGGCTGTTTCATGACACACGTCTTCTTCTCTCCAGGGCCTTAGCCTTTGCTCTCTGGTGTATGAGGACATTTGTTTAGTATGTCTTTCCAAATTATATAACCTGTGGGCATGTGGGAGGATGCTTGAAAGCAGCTCACCCATCACAAGCTGGACCTTCTCCACCTGGTGTTTAGCGTTCAACTTTCCCCCCTCTCTCCTCAAGGCCTCAATTCCCCTGGGGTTCGGCCATCTCTTTGCTGGTTTGAACTTTATGTTGCTGTTGTTGCTCACTTGACAATAGGTTTTCAGAGAGAGAGAGAGAGAGAACAGGCAAACACATGTGCCCGGACCACCATTAGATTTAGTTAGAGAATCCTAATTCAGTTAGAAATGCTTGAGCACAATGTGCTGCAGTTCTGTGTGAAATCTCACCTTCACGCCCAGGCTTGCCTCCTTTCTCCTTCCTGGCCCTCTGTTCCGTTTTCTCAATGCTTCGTAGGAGGATTTCCTCAATAAACCACTTATCCATGAGGCCCGACGTAAGGTTATACATCTGGAAAACCAGGCCTAAGATATTTGGTATCCTGTACATTTTACCTATTAATTTAAAATTTGTTTCATTCTAGAAGGTAAGGATGGCACTCGTGCTCACCTAAATTTGGTTGTGTATTTGAGTAGTTTTGGTGTTTGTGCATGGTCCGAGTTTCATTTTTAAAATCATGATACTTTGTTTCCTGTACTGATAAAGTTTTTTATGATGAAAGTAGCTCCATGTCTACTATATAGTTCCCAAATCATTCCATGTTTGCCTGTTGCCTTCATAATTGGGAAATAGGTCTGAATGTAAGAAGTTTTGGTTCAGTTCCTCTTCCAAAGCATTTTGTGGTTATTATTCTCTGTCTTCTAATGCTCAGTGTGACTGAGAAGAAATCACAAGTGAGGTCAATTGTTTTCTTTGTGTAAATAGTTTTTCTTATTTTTGCTGGAGACCAGAAGGATGTTTATCATAAAAATTCAATATGTACCAGGCATGGTGGCTCAGTCTATGAATTGTAGCACTTGAAAGGTGGAGGCAGAGGATCTCTGTTAGTTTGAGACCGGCCTGCTCTATATAGAGAGTTCCAGGCCAGTCAGAGCTACATAGTGAGACCCTGTCCCAAAGAAAAAAAATCAACATGAACATGCAAAGTTGTGATGATACATTAGAATGTTTCCATATTTTATTAGAATACAGTGTCCTTAGAATATAGTGTAAGTTCTTCCTTTATTTGACAAAATTGCCTTCTATAACAACTTAAAATGTGTGTCAGGTCCTGTTTGCTATTTTCCAAAGACATAGATTCTCTCTATATGCTATGATGTATGCATCTCTTTTGCCTTTATTATGCTCATTGCAACTATTTAGTATCCTTTCCTTTGTTCAACCTGATTGCTCCCAGTGCATCCTTCATACTTGGGATTCATTAAACAGCCACAAGCAACATGGGGCTACTTAAACTTAAATTGATTCAAAATAAGATGAGGTGATGAACGAGGCTGGCACTGTGATGTAAGATGAGGTATGAATGTGGCAGGTGCTGTGGTGTAGGATATATGAACACAGCACTGTGATATCCTGATGGTCACTATGACAACTAGGAAGGCTACTAAGTGACTAATAGGTAAGTGGCTATATTGGCTGAAGGGACAGTTTATGATTTAGATCTCTGGAAAAACAAAAATGATAAAGATTTCACTAAACTATTCAAAATTATGTACAAACCAAAAATTGTGAATTTTCCCAGAACCTTCTATGTAATATTTTTGGACTACAGTGGACTGCATGTTAACTGAAATTGAAAAGTGAGATCATGAATAAAAGTATCTATGGTAACCTCTCTCAGTGTAAACACAGAGGACTTTTCCTTTCAAAATCTTCCTATCATGTTTTCCTATCTCCTGTTTGCAGGCTGAAAATTTGCAAATGAGTTTTATTTACTTATTTTGGGCTGCAATATATTTCTCCTATTAGGCTGATTTATATTTTATGTTTCTCATTTTATGAAAACTTCTTGAAAAATTTATTCTAGCTTATTTATTGTAATTACAATGTGTCTCAGTTCTGCCCAGTAGCTCCTTGTCTTTTCTCTCTTATTTTATGAGCTATACTGCCTGCCAGGTTATCAAAGATAGCCTGTGGGACAAAGGAACTCACCTCCAATTTGTAAATGTACTCAAGAGGCTGTGGCCATTCACTGGTTTTATTACCACCGGCTCTTTTCAAGGTGCAATAACAGAACTGGGGTTGAGACAGGGATCATACAGCTTGGGAAGGTTAAACCCTTACGATCTCATGCTTCACAGAAAAGTCTGCTGACCTCTCAAGTACAGGGAAGGGACAACCACCTGTGTCTGAGAGCACAAGGCAGGGTGAGGATAGGATTGGAAAACCCACCTCAGGCATACTGGTCTCCTTCTGTTCTTCACAGAATTTTTGTTTTGCTTGTTTTGTTTTCAAGATAGGGTTTCTCTGTGTAGTTTTGGTGCCTGTCCTGGATCTCGCTTTGTAGACCAGGCTGGCCTCGAACTCACAGAGATCCAGCTGGCTCTGCCTCCTGAGTGCTGGGATTAAAGGCGTGCGCCACTGCCCCCTGGCCTTCACAGCTTTTAAAGGGGTATTTTGTTCAGCTTTACATCATGTCTCAGATCAGGCTGCCTTACAATACGGTTGTCCTTAACATCCATGGGCATGAGGAGTTTGTCCCAGGTTCTTCTGGGGCTGCCCAAAGCTGCAGGTGCTCAGTTCCCTTATGTGAAATAGCATAGTGTTTGCATTTGATTTATATGTCCCTGTGTACAAGGCTGACTGTGTTATAGCATGGTTGGCTTATACATAAAGGAAATTCATTGCTCACAGTTCTGGAGGCCAGAAGTTTGGAATCTGGTAGCAAAAAGTTTAGGTTCTGTTAAGGCTTATTGGAGACTGACAACTTCTTGCTGTATCTTCACATTATAGAAAGAAAAATCTGGTTCTGTAGGTTCCTGCTTACAAGGGCACCAGTCCCTTTAACAGGGTTCTCTTCTTGTATGAGCTATTTATCTTCCATACACCTACCTCCAGATGCCATCAGCTTGCTGTGGGTAGGGCAGGCTTTCAACTTAATGCATCTTGGAGGATACAGACATGTGGTCCATAGTGCCAGGCAAAGGTCCTTTGAGTCCTGAAAGAAACATGGGCTTCAGATCATATCCAGCCTCTAGTCCTATTTCTATCTCTTGAAGTTTGTTTGTTTTTCACATTTGTGGAGAGATATCCTGCTTGTGTTCTTGCCCTGAATTCCACTATTAGCCACTGCTGCTGACAAAGGCTGAGAGGTATGGCGACGAGTTTGTCTTCCGTATGTAGCTGTTTTAGGACTTTCCATGAGCTGTTATTTATCAAGACCAGGCATAGTTTGTACCCTCCTCAGAAAAGGCTTCCAATCTTCTAGTCTTTATCTTCTAAGAGAATGGGTCTTCTATTTCTTCATCATTTTGAGGCATTTCTTTTCCTCAAATCTCCCTCCTAATGCTTCTGAAAAGTCACTGTTAGGAACTTTCTAGAATCTGTACTATGATCCTTAAAGGAGATTTGCTTTGCATTGGCTAACAACACTTGACCAGCTTCCTCCTCTCATCTCTCCCTTCTTACCCCTCTCTTTCCTTATTTGAGCATCCTGCATATCTCTATGTGCATATCTTAGATTTTGCCAAAATGAAAATTTGAGATCTGGCTTTCCTTTCCCATCCTCAATTGATGTAGGTGGAGTTTCTCTGTGTCCAGCAGTCAGTTCCCAAATAACCATATGGAGACTTCTTATTAATTATAAAAGATTGGTCAACTGCTTAGTCTTGTTACTAACTAGCTTTTACAACCCAAATTAACCCACATTTCTTATCTACATTCTACCATGTGGCTCATGGCTTGTTACCTCATTTTCTTTTCTTTTTTTTGAAATGACATTTTTATTTATGAAAATACAGTTATTTTACTCAATAGGAGCTTAAACAGGTCATTCAGTAAATACAGTGTATATCCTTAGTGATATATCAAATTAAAGAACAAAAGAAAGAACCAAAAAATAACAAAACATCAAAATAAAGAAAAATAAAACCTCAATGCAAACAAACCCAAACCCACAAGACAAATGAAATTTTTTTCATTAAGCAAAATTCTCTTCATGCAGATTTAGTGGCATGAAGTGTCCTACACCCTGTGCCTGGCTTTGGACACATATTAGGGAGTCAGCCACAGAATTTAATAACCTTTTCAAAACAAGTGTAGCCATGAAAATTTGGGTCTTTGTAGATTAAGCCCTTGTCAAGGTTGATCCTATGCTATGTTGGAGTGAGAATATCATGCTGCTGTTGCTGGTTCTGAGGGCCACTGGTCTCTTCTTGGTTCTTAATGAGCAATTTCATGTTCCCCAAGTGTTGCTTCAGCAGGACCCAATCCTCCAGCAGTTTCTTGTCCTCCTGCCTCAGTATGTCCACCTTCTTCTTCAGCTGACTCTGCCCCATCAGGAACCGGCTCTCCAGATCAAAATAAAAGCTCTTCTCCTTGGTCACATCACTGATCTTCTGTGAGGCTTCCGAGTTCTCATTCTCCAATCTCTTCAGATCTGACATGGCCTGCTTATGCTCCATTTTGAGCTTCTTGTAGAAAGGATTTGGCCTGTGATAGGGCCTATTGTCCAAGGATCTTTCAGTTACTAAGATGAAATGATTTCTCAGTTCATTCCGTTGTCTGATTATCAGCTGTAGCTGAGTGGTCAGACTCTCCACCTTCTGCATCTCCTGCTTCTTGGTGAGGAGGGCTCCCTGGAGGCCCTGCACCATCCTCTGGACCATTCTGTTCTTGATGTTTTACATGGAGGCTGAAGGCCAGTTTGCTTCTGCCTCTCTCTGGTCTTTCAGTCCTCTCCATTATCTCTTCCAAATAGACTCCTCAGTCTTGCCAACATGTTCATGGGTGAACAGTCAAGGCACTGACCAAACTCTCCAAAAGGCAGTTCATGTTGCTACAACACAGATGACATCAGAAAGGAATCCAGAGCTCTCCAGGATACAATGGAATTTCCAGGGAAAGGACCACTGATGTCATGGGGAACTGACATTGCCTCACTGCTAACCAGGTTTCCTCATAACTTGACAGAAGTCAGGTTCTCCTTTCGAGAAATCTCTCCTGGTTCACAAGGAAAACAGTTCAGCACTGGCAGATTGTATTAGCATGTTACTCTATAGCTAATCACTACCCAAAGAATCCACTTTTAAGAATTTTTTTCCTTTTTTTATTAGGAAATTTTTTTCATTCATTTTTACATACCAATCAAAGATCCTCCCTTCCCTCCTCCTGCTCCCTAACATCCCTCTCCCAACCCACCCTCCCATTCCCCCCCCACACACAAGAAGGCAAGGCCTCCCATGAGGAGGCACATCCAGTAGAGGCAAGTCCACACCATTCCCCCTGCCTCAAAGCTATATGAGGTGTTCCATCATAGGTAATGGGCTCCAAAAAGGCCACTCCATGCACCAGGGATGGATTCTGATCCTACTACTAGGGGGGGCCCCCTTAGCAGATCAAGCTACACAATTGTCTCCCCATGCAGAGGGCCTAGCTCAGTCCCATGTAGGCTCCACAGCCATTGATCCAACTTTCATGAGTTCCCACTAGTTTGGTTTGGTCCTCTCTGCAGGTTTCCCCATCATGATCCTTGTGCCCTTGCTCATAGAATCCCTCTTCTCTCTCTTTGACTGGACTCCTGGAGCTCTGCCAGGTATTTGGCTGTGAATCTCTGCATCTTCTTCCATCTCTCACTGGAGAAAAGCTCTGTGATGACCGGGGGGGGGGGGCACCTGTCTGATCACGGGGGTAAACCAGTTCAGTCCAGTCACCCTCTCCACTATTTCTAGTATAGTCCAAGCTGAGGCCATCCTTGGGGATTCCTGACAACTTCCCTAGCATCCATTTCTCTCTATCCCCATGATGTCTCCCTCTATCATGGTATCTCTTTCATTGCTCTCCCACTCCATCCCTGTTCCAACTCAACCATCCTATTCCCTTATATTCTCATTCCCTATCCCCTACCCTCCATTGCCCACCCTTCATCTCTAGTTGACTCATGGAGATCTCGTTTATTTCTCCTTCCCAGAGAGATCCACAATCCCTCTTTGGGTCTTCTGTGTTAGCTAGTTTCTCTGGAGTTGTGGATTGTTGTCTGGTTATCCTTTGCTTTACATCTAATATCCACTTATGAGTGGGTACTGTAGAAGTAACCGCCTTATTCAATAAGAAACACAGAACCAATGCAAAGAAGAAAGCCAAGAGGTCAGAGCTAAGAGCTAAAAACCTTACCCTTCCTCTCGAGGTGGTCCTATCTCTCTGAAAGAGACCTACTTCCTGTGTGTCTGTCTTTATAAAGACTTTCTGTTCATATCACCATAGGGTACATACCATGTCTGTCCTTCTGAGTGTGAGTTACCTCACTCAGGATGATATTTTCTAGTTTCATACATTTTCCTGCAAATTTCATGATGTCATTATTTTTCTCTGCTGAGTGGTACTCCATTGTGTGTATGTGCCACATTTTCTTTCTATTTTTATTTTTTTAAATTTTATTTTATTTTACAATATAATTTAATTCTACATATCAGCCATGGATTCCCTTGTTCTCCCCCATCCCACCCCCTCCCATTCCCCCCAGCTCACCCCCCCATTCCCATCTCCTCCAGGGCAATGACTCTTCCAAGGATTGAGATCAACCTGGTAGACTCAGTCCAGGCAGGTCCAGTTCCCTCCTCCCAGGCTGAGCCAAGCGTCCCTGCATAAGCCCCAGGTTTCAAACAGCCAACTCATGCACTGAGCACAGGACCTGGTCCCACTGCCTGGATGCCTCCCAAGCAGATCAAGCCAATCAACTGTCTCACCTATTCAGAGGGCCTGATCCAGTTGGGGGCCCCTCAGCCATTGGTTCATGGTTCATGTGTTTCCATTCATTTGGCTATTTGTCCCTGTGCTTTATCCAGCCTTGGTCTTAACAATTCTCACTCATATAAACCCTCCTCTTTCTCGCCAATTGGACTCCCAGAGCTCCACCCGGGGTCTGGCCGTGGATTTCTGCATCCAGTTCCCTCAGTCATTGGATGGGGTTTCTAGCACGACAATTAGGGTATTTGGCCATCCTATCACCAGAGTAGGTCAGTTCAGGCTGTCTCTCAACCATTGCCAGCAGTCTATTGTGGGGTTATCTTTGTGGATTTCTGTGGGCCTCTCTAGCACTTTGCTTCTTCCTATTCTCATGTGGTCTTCATTTACCATGGTCTCCTATTTCTTGTTCTCCCTCTCTGTTCTTGATCTCTGTTCTGGGATCTCCCACTTCCCCAAGCTCTCTTTCCCTCGACCCTCGCCCTTCATTATCCCCACTCACATCCAAGCTGTTCATGTAGATCTCATCCATTTCTCTGTCATTGGGCGATCCCCGTGTCTTTCTTGGGGTCCTGTTTTCCAGGTAGCCTCCCTGGTGTTGTGAGTAGCAGTCCAGTCATCTTTGTTCCACATCTAGTATCCTCCTATGAGTGAGTACATACCATGTTTGTCTTTCTGAGTCTGGGTTACCTCACTCAGGATGATATTTTCTAGATCCATTCATTTGCCTGCAAACCTCATGATGTCATTGTTTTTCTCTGCTGAGTAGTACTCCATTGTGTATATGTACCACATTTTATTTATCCATTCTTCAGTTGAAGGGCATCTAGGTTGTTTCCAGGTTCTGGCTATTACAAACAATGCTGATATGAACATAGCTGAGCAAGTGCTCTTGTGGTATGATTGAGCATTCCTTGAGTATATGCCCAAGAGTGGTATAGCTGGGTCTTTAGGAAGATTGATTCCCAATTTTCTGAGAAACCGCCATACTGATTTCCAAAGTGGTTGTACAAGTTTGCACTCCCACCAACAGTGGAGGAGTGTTCCCCTTACTCCACATCCTCTCCAACATAAGCTGTCTATGGTGATTTTGATCTTAGCCATTCGGACAGGTGTAAGATGGTGTCTCAGAGTCATTTTGATTTGCATTTCCCTGATGAGTAAAGGTGCTGAACAATTCCTTAGATGTCTTTTGGCCATTTGAAATTCTTCCTCTGAGAATTTTCTGTTTAGCTCTACAGCCCATTTTTAAAATTGAATTACTCATTATTTTGATGTCTAGTTTCTTGAGTTCTTTATATATTTTGGAGATCAGCCCTCTGTCAATGTGAGGTTGGTGAAGATCTGTTCCCACTATGTAGGCTGTCGTTTTGTCTTATAGACTGTGTCCTTTACCTTACAGAAGCTTCTCAGTTTCAGGAAGTCCCATTTATTAATTGTTGCTCTCAGTATCTGTGCTACTGGTATTATTTTTTTTTTAGTTTATCTTGTATTCTGCCACATTACTGAAGGTGTTTATCAGCTCTAGGAGTTCCCTGGTAGAATTTTTGATGTCACTTGTATATACTGTCATATCATCTGCAAATAGTGAAAGTTTGACTTCTTCCTTTCCAATTTGTATCCCTTTGATCTCCTTATGTTGTCTTATTGCTCTAGCTAGAACTTCATGTACTATATTGAATAAATATGGGGAGAGCGGACAGCCTTGTCTTGTTCCTGATTTTAGTGGAATCACTGAGTTTTTCTCCATTTACTTTGATATTGGCTGTTGGCTTGCTGTAAATTGCCTTTATTATGTTTAGGTGTGCTCCTTGTATTCCTGATCTCTCCAAGACCTTTATCATGAAGGAGTGTTGGATTTTGTCAAAGGCCTTTTCAGCATCTAATAAAATGATCATATGTATTTTTTCTTTCAGTTTGTTTATATGGTGTATTACATTGATAGGTTTTCATATATTGAAGCATCCTTACATTTCTGAGATAAAGCTTACTTGATCATGGTGGATAATTTTTTAATGTGTTCCTAAATTTGTTTTGCCAATATTTTATTGAGTATTTTTGCATTGATGTTCATGAGGAAGATTGGTCTGCAATTTTGTTTCTTTGTTGCGTCTTTGTGTGGCTTGGGAATCAGAGTAACTTTAGCCTCATAAAAGGACTTAGGTAATGTTCCTTCTGTTTCTATTGTGTGGAACAATTTGAAGAGTATTGGTATTAACTCTTCTTTGAAAATCTGGTAGAATTCTGTGTTGAAACAATCTGGTCCTGGACTTTTTTTGGTTGGGAGACTTTTAATAACTGTTTCTATTTCCTTAGGGATTATTGGTCTATTTAAATTGTTTATCTGGTCTTGATTTAACTTTGATATGTAGTACCTATTCAGTAATTGTCCATTTCTTTTAGATTTTCCAATTTTGTGGAGTACAGGTGTTTAAAGTATGACCTGATGATTCTCTGGGTTTCCTCGTTATCTGTTATTATGTCTCCCTTTTCATTTCTGATTTGGTTAATTTGGATGCTCTTTCTCTGCCTTTTGGCTAGTTTAGATATGGGCTTGTCTATCTTGTTGATTTTCTTTAAGAACCAACACTTTGTTTCATGGATTCTTTGTATTGTTCTCTTTGTTTCTATCTTATTGATTTCAGCTCTCAATTTGATTATTTCCTGGCATCTATTCCTTGTGGGTGACTTCTCTTCCTTTTGTTCCAGAGCTTTCAGGTGTGCTGTTAAGTCACTAGCATGAGATTTTTCCAACTTCTTTATGTGGGCATTTAGTGCTATGAATTTTTCTCTTATTACTTACGGTGATATTTTATTTTGTACTAAAATGTTATTTGTATGTTAATAAATAAAGTTGTCCGGGGGGTCAGAGCTATTAGCAAGCCATAGGAAAGCCGGGCGATGGTGGCGCATGCCTTTAATCCCAGCACTTGGTAGGCAGAGCTAGGTAGATCTCTGTGTGTTCAGGGATACAGCCAGCATTGGAGACACATGCCTTTAATCTCAATACCAACCATAGAAGACCTGGAGGTCTGTACAGACAGGCAGTGACGAGGCGGTCATGTGGTTGGGTTTACAACCAATGAGAAGGCAG